GTCATGGCAGAGACAATTAGCGGCCAGACTATCCGACAAGTCAGTCAGCAGGAATTTAACTTGCTTTGTTAACTTCAGACCGTGGGTCGTTTTATAAATAAAGTGCCATGGAAAAAATAGCCCGAAATATATACTGACCTATTTCCGAGCTTCACGCAAAAAAATCGACAACTTGCCGTCTCTCAACGTTACCTCTGCCTCTGCCTAATTACTACTGTTTCAACTAGAAATTAAAATCAGGATGAAAATAGGGGGATACTTATTCCTCTCTAAACTCACCCCAAACGCAGTCAGATAAAGCAAAAATTCCTCTGTAGTGAAAAGTGCAACAATAATTTACAAACTTATAGTGATTTTTCTTACTGCATCCGTTAAGCGCAGCGAGTATAGCAAATTTCATTGATCTAGATTCCAAACAATATTCAAAGTCGCCAAAGAGTAAACGGACACAAAAAAAACATTGCTTTACCGAACGAAATACATTTTTTTTTAAACAACTCTATTGAACCTGTTTGCGCCCTATTCCAAGCAGGAATGTATTCCGAACAACTCGCAGTTACAAACTGATATAACTGTATATAACTGACGTATTTACATCGGTGCCATTGATAAGGCACGTTTATGAATGGCATAGTCGGGCACTATCGTGATTCAATGTGGTTTTCTTTGTGTATTGTAGTCGGCCGACATTTATACCAAAAATAAACTATTGTACACAAACCCGATCAACTCTGTTATCAGCGTCATGACATAATGTTTGTGCAGATTTCATGGTCTGCCAGTGTGGGAACATAACATGGTACTAATGAAACTGCTCCTAATGAAAAAGCTCAAAGTGGTTAAAAAATGACACTAAACATTGAACAAAAAATCCTAAACACACACATTTTCCTTTGCAATAAACGCCGAAAATATTTAACCAAATAAATAACCGTTAAAATATTGATATTGATGTCCCAATAAAGTGTTATTTAAAGCTTTGATTGAATTCGGATGACTAGTTAAACAAAAATCCAAACAAACATTGAAGCTATAAAAATTTTATTCATTAGACAACTATTACTCACTGAAGCGGTTAATGGATAGCTAAACTCTTATGAGGTTAATGCCCTATTTTACCTCCGCCTTTCTATCATTCTACTGTATAAAAATAAATGAATTTTAATCAGTTACTACAAGTTGGTATCATCGCAACTACAAAACCCATTCAGAAATAAATCAGTAAAAATGTTCTAAAGACGTAAACAGTGACAAATTACACTAAGGCAATGTTTCATAAAAGTGGACTTATTGCAATTTTAATTACAATTGTTCTCACAAGCCATTTGGATAACGTCGATCAACCAGGCCCATATATCAAGTATTAACGGCATTTTCCAAAGGTATTATCAATATCTAGAACGCACGCCAAACGTAAATATAGATAATGGCTCAAATTACTTGGGTAAACGACTCGCTCTAATATACAGTGCAAAGAAGACTGAGGTTATTTACATTCGGTGCGTAGGTAAAACGATGCCAAAACCAACATTCTAAATCAAGTTGGCGATTTAAATGGCAATGGCGTCTAGACTAAACAAAGGCTGTTGGCTCGAGCCTACACTAGATACAGCCTTAGGATCTTCGTAAACTGGCCAACCGAAACCGTATGTTGCGATATTGAATACTTGATGGAATGGCGGCTATTTTTAGCATTGGAAAACATATGGCTCATTTTGCCAAAAAAAAACTTTGACTTGCACGTTTTACTCTTGAACAGCGGCGCACCACCGTCCATAGAATAGAATTTCGTTCGTCTCCTAACTAGCACAGAAAATCACAAATACCTAAAATAATCTGAGAATCGGTCAGAGACAGCTAAACATCCATTTTTCATATCAACTGGTTTTTCGCTGCGCTATTAAGAACGCAGGAGATTTTTGCGCAAGAATTAAATCAGAGTAATCGAGAGTTATAAGATGTTGTCAACTGAATCCTAATAACAAGTGTATTAAAATATGTTTCGAAAAACGGATGCAGCAGTTATTACAAAATATAATTGGCTGTTAAAACCATGGCTTTTCTTGTTCCCAATTCGATCCCCCAATAACAATCCCGTTCGAAGGACCATTCTACGGAATAATTCAATTTTTGATCGGGTAAATAAAATCTGATAAATTGACCTATCACTCCTAAAAAATATCCTCGGATTCTTTCTTACAGCTGTTTGAAACATTAAACTATGTAAAAAATATTTGATTTTTTCGATTATGAGGCAGTTGGATTTCTTTGATTTTATTAGAAGTATTGCAAATTGAAATCCTTTAGAACCGCACAATCGAAAATACAGAAAAAAAGTAAACAGGAAAATAAAAACAAGTCAAATTCATGTCAAGTGGACTGCAGACATTAAGCAAGATTCCCGACAGTTAGATTAGATTAAAACCAGATTAGGCTAAATCTTACGCATATATTTCGGAAATGGTACTGTAATAAATACGCGACTTAGAAAAAATATGGTGGCTTCTCTTAGCCTATACAGAGTTTCAGTTTTTTAAGACTACAGAAAAATTCTATTTATTTACTTATTTTGTAGGCACATTTGCATCAAACTTTGTAAGTGTATTTTTATTGATACCAGACTGGGAGAATTTGAACCAAAAAAACTACGAAGTTCCTCGAAGAAATACAATTAAATTAAAAAAAAAAACACCGACTAAGCCCTAATTTAATTGAAAACATTAAAGCGAACAAACAAATATCGATCAACTGCAAGCAAAAGTAAAAGTAGACATGATGCAAATATCCATCAGGTGAGACTATTTTTTTATTGAAGCGATCATCACAAAAATAACCGTCCAAACTATGTAGGCTGGAACATTTTACTGCGATCATATGGTTGGAGAAAATGAAGGGGGACCCGGTGAACGCTCGAATTCGTCGAGCATCAGCTGATGCCGATGAGAACGCAGGTTGAAACTATTTAAAAATGTTACGCAATCGAAAAAACCGACCGGCTGATTATGGGATGCACAAACAAACAGACATCAGTTGTTACACCAGTAGTCATCGTATTTGCTTAGATGATTGTAGCAGGTTTGCTAATCAGTATTATAGAGGCCCACTGAACGGGGCGAAAACAGTAAAAACCTTTGATGAGAACTAAGGCAATTTTTGAAAAATTACTTCTTTAGGTGCAGATCCATTGTTATTGCCAATCAATGAAAAATTCAAATTAATAATGGGCAACTGTTCAAAAACCCATAACCAGCACCCAGACGCCTCTCTAGAGAACATACGGCTTCTAAATCAAGCAACGTGTTCTATTATCGGCTTTCGAGTGTTCAAGAGCATTAATTAAAAACATATGAAATAATAATGTAAAATTCAACAGCAACAAATAGAAGAACAGTTGCTTCCTATAAACATTGAAGAATTTAATGGCATCCCCGCTTCAGTGAAGGATGGGGGTTCTTCTAACGCTCGTTTTTTCATTGTTATTGACTGTCATTTTCCCATAAACACCTTTTTATTATGATGGATTTCACTCGGAAATTGTCAAGGCAGCTACGTGTTATAAAAACGTCGCTTTCTGGTAATAGCACCAGAAAGAAGCTGTAATTGCTTTTCGATCATAAAGAGAATGTGATGATTGTGTGCGAGTGTTTATAAAACGCCGATCATGCTGACAGTCAATCGTATGAAAAAATATATACAAAACAGCAGAGTGGCAATATTTAACCAAAACATATAAAAAAAATTGATTGCAAAAACTTAACAAAGGGAAAACAGAGTCGCAAAAAAATCTAATTAAACAAAATAAAACGAGACATTCGACTTCGAGTAGTTTATTCGAATGAAAACTTTGGAGCCCTCTTATTTACCCAAAATAAGCAGCCATTGGTACACAACGAAGGAACTGAATGAACATCAATATTTGCGAGTGCCCAATACGCGTACGGTGCAATTCTCACTTGCAAAAAACGCAAATATTTATTTTCATTCGTCCCATGCAAAATAAACGCATCTCGCAGCATCATAAAGGATGCGTCTGTATATGCATATATTCCCACAAAAGTTTTAATTGCAGACTTTAGTTAGTTAGTAAGCGCATTTCATTGTTGAGAAAATGAAGAGAAATGCACTTCACTCTTACAAACACACTTTCAGTTTGCTAGTTACAATGAGCGCTAAGTCAATAAACAATTGCGATTTTTGTCGCTGAAACCGGATAATAAACACGTTTAGTGGACGTAACTTTGGATAATAAATTTCTACTTAAGCCAGCTTGCACCTTCTCTACTTTACAGCACCATAAATGCTTAATTTGCATGTGTGGCTAAAATTGCAGTGTCGCTAAAACCAGACAATTTCAATAGCTTACTTACAATAAATTATTGCTTCCTCAGGCGAGTATAAAATTTAACGCTCCTGAATAGTGAAATAACGATTGTCATTCATAGTAGAATCCAAAAAAAAAAACGAAATTAAAACAAATGCAAAGAACTGAATATGCGAAAGTTAGTTGGGATTAATAGAATTCCGAGTCGGTTGGCATCTCACGCTCAGCCGGATATTTAACGAAAAATTCCATGAGAATCGTGATTAGTGCACCAGACGGAGGCCTTGCCCTCGTTCGCAGGAATATGTGTGTAGGCATTTTATAACAAATCGAATAATAATTATTATCGCCGTTTGGAAGGTGATATTTATTTGCTGCAGCTGTTGCTGGTTTATGTGCGCTAATTTCAAAAACACCTTCGTCCCAATTCTCAACTATGGACTTGCAGCACAACAGTGGCGACTCGTGTTTAGGAGGTAACAAGTGGTGCAAGCCGCAAACAAAGACGTAATCAAAAGGACTAATCAACCTTCGCATCAACTGCTCTAGGATGTTAAAGTCCAGTTTACCATCTTTGGATAACTTTATCTGACCGATAGGGCGCCTTTGCGATATCAATAATTTTGAAAGTAATTACATGAGATGAAGATTTTGCCCCTAAATGAAAGAAATTACTAACCTTGCTGAGTTTCTCGCCTTCGTGATGCGGTAACAGACTGCGCAATGACTGAAATCCGTTGTTGATCGACTGCATGCGCCGGCGTTCGTTACTATTCGCGATTTCACGACGCATACGTTTCTCCTGATCCATGGTCACCGTTGGGGGTTCACCACCCTTGTTGATACGACTGAAAAAGGATTACTATATTATTATCTGAATTTGCAAAAAAAAATTTTTTCAATTTTTATTTCATCAAATTAAACAGCATAATAAAAGACCGATAATTATTGCGTCACGGCCAAAAAGCTTGGGACAGGCTAAATATAGCAACGTTTTGGACAGCAATGAAATTATTTTTGTTTCAAAATTTTGAAAACGTTTTACATGAAAAAACATTCATGAGTTATGGGCCACCTCGTACAACAATAATGCTGACCAACCTCTAGTCCACGTGTGTGCCGATTCAACACTAATAAATTATATAAACCATTGACCAACCATTTTGTATCCCAGTCAGAGTTTAAATTCAGAATTAATCAAGTATTGTCTAGAACGTTGTATTAATAAAAATACAGTTTTTTTTGAACTTTTAAGAATTATTATTCTTAAGTCATGTCGTCATAGGCGATTAGAAATATGAACAAATTGCATTGATAACAAGTGAAGGAGTCGTAACCGGAGTACACGCTTTATTTTTAATATAGACATATAAAAAAATAAACACTTTTAGAAACGCACAATACAAATTTACGTAAAATCGATCTGGAATGTTTTACACAATTTAAAAACGAATTCAAGCTATTGAACCATGCATATTGAACAGTTTCCTACGTCCAAAGCAATTCATTCGGCCCCAAAAACACGCAAGTAAAATCTTTAATTTTTACCGATTTTTCGTAAGAGAAGGTGTAGATCTTAAAAAAATTCACAAAATGCTGTAAATTCTACATCATTTTCCTCTCAAAGAAGTGAGGAATCCGATGAACTCATGGAACACACTGGAAGCTTCAGGCTCCGATATCATCGACATTTTCAACTGATTTTAGACAATTTTTGGACTGTCGCGATCTTTAATTTACAGTATTTTCTTTATTGCAGTCCGAAACACTGTAAATATGCATAATACGCAGTTTCTTACGTCGAAAGCACTTTATTGGGCCAAAAAACCATGTAAGAATTTTTTTTATTTTCAGCGAAATTTTCCTAAGGGTAAATTAAAAAAAAAGTTCTTACAAAATACTTCGAAATCCACGTCATTTTCATCTCAAGGAAGCGACAAATTCAACGGCGCATAAAAAACTCATTGGAAGCTTGAAATCCCATATGATCGACATTTACGACTCACTTTAGCAATTTTTGAACATTCGCGATCTTTAACTGACAGTATTTTCCTTATTGCAGTCTCAAACACTATAAATATGCATACATATTGCAAAGTATCCCACGTTGAAAGTGATCCATTAGGCCCATAAAACATGCAAGTAAAATTTTGAATTTCCACCGAAATTTTCCAAGGGTGGGTGTCGATTTAAAAAATACCCAAATAAAAATTTCCCCAAAACGCTTTAAATTCCACATCATTTCCACCTCAAAGTTGCAGGAAAATTCAGAATTCAAGGAAAAACCCACTGAAAGCTTCAGATCCAAAATATGTATAGGTATTTTCGACTGATTTTTGGCAATTTGCGATCTTTATCTGACAATACTTTCCATATCTTAGTCCCAAACACTGCAACTATGCATTCTTACGCCGAAAGCAATCCATTGAGCCCGAAAGACACAAAACATGTAATTTTTGAGTTTTCAAGTAAACTTTTTGCCATTTCTCCATTGACTAACGACTTCCCTGTAAAATGTACATATTACATAATCACGTTTGACTCAGTCTTTTGCCAGGCAAACTCTCATCCTCTTCATGTGGATTCACATCACAGTCAGGGGACTTTTTCTAAGCATGAAATTATAATATCAAAAGAGAGAGTCTTTGATGTTTTTTGTGCATCTCGGCTCTGTTAATGTTGCAATCGCCCTCTCAGTGTTTTGTGGCTTCGCATTTTCAAGGATTTATTCCGATGATGAATTTAATATCCTGAAGCACTTTTCATTAAAAGGAATCTGCTTTTAAACGAAACAGATCAATGCCTATCCATGAATTTCCAATAAAACAGGAAAATTAATGTCCATTTTCCAAAAAAATTAACATCGATCGTGGCAAGTAGCAATTTTCCCAGGGTTTCCAGCGAACATAAGAAGTGAAACTTTCAAAGCCAAAAAAGGCTTTTTCTGGCAACTCCCAGACAAGCTAAACCAGAAGGAATCGCGGACAAATCGTCCATAGAAATTACTTGTGCTTTCTTTGCTAATTAACGAACACTTTGCTATTTGAAAGTGTGGAGAGCAATCAACTAAAGTGTAAGGCAGGTCAGTGTTGCGCGATACTCCACGCTGGCCAGGCCTAACAAATTATTATCAGACGAACGCAACATGGCGACCTCGTGCTGCACGTACCACGAATTTAAAACAAAAAGGAAGGTTCCTTATGAATACCGTTGCTTGATTAAACGCTTAAGGATTCGCCTTGATCGGTACCGAGAAGCTACAACTCTTTCAAGTCCAACTACAGCCCCATGCAGAAAACTGCATCTGAACCAATAAAGAAACGTTTCAGTCTCGATGCCCTACCATGACCTCAGTCTATGGCTAGATGCAACCTGATTTGGCACTAAGATAGCCATAAAAGATATCATTCAGCCCTGTTATCCCTGTGTCGATCCACCCCTGGTGGTTAAGTTCAACCAGTTGCAATCGGAAAGGAAGGGAATTTCGGGCACTCGCCGAGCTTTTGGCTGAGGTCAAGGGCCATTACTGGCTTTTAACACGCTCCATCAACCCAAAAAGCACCCATTTGGCATTCAAACGAGCTGTTTTGACTATAGCTTAGAACTTCTTCCTCGGACAAGTTTAGATATCGAATTAGACATGTTAGGATTGAAAAGACTACGCTTTGTGCTACAATGTTTGCTTCTTGTGGAACGTGTTCAGTTGGTTTAACTGATTAGAACAATGCAGGTAGCACTTGAGTCGCTGTTTTACCAAAACAAAAGCTACTTCCGAGATCTTTAGGGACAATTTTCGATCAAGATCCATGGAAATAGCCTTTCGCGACCATAATTTCAACTTTTCCTTCTCTGCTTCTTCATTATCTGTGCCAGTGGCAATATTCACTGATGAGCCGATTCTTCCACTGCGATTTCAATTTCTTCTGTCAATGATCCATGTGTCTCTACAGTCGATCACAACTTTAACGCAATAAGTTCTTATAAAACCGCGTCCTTTCACCATTCAGGCTCAGGAATCATTACGAAAATTAATTTTTCAAATTTGAAAGATATTACATGATCAACTCGTAATTCCTCATTTGCGTCTTTATTTCATCTTATTCATTATTTAAATTCATTTTTACACCGCCTTTGAGCAACAATTTAATACTGCCGTCTACACCCTTTTAAGTACTCTGGTTGAACAGTTAATAAAACGAATTTGTTTTTAGAGTAGAAACACGTTTTTAGGGTAATTCAAGGAAAACTACCTTAAAGTTTGATCTTTCGCAAATTATTGTGATTTTTAATACAAAATCGATATCTATCGAAACAAAAACTTTGTATTGTTAAATCGCGCTACACTCGGCCGTTTTTTTTTAAACTGGATTCCTAGCGTTTCTTAATTTCAGTTTTCATACATTCTTTTATATATATTTGTAACTTCATCGAAACCTCAGCAAGGGTCCATTTTTCTACGAAATTGCCGGAATGTTTTCTAAAATTTCAAAAATTTGTCAAACTTGAATCCCGGAATGGAAAAATCGTTACTTTCGTATTCAATTAAAAACCTGTATCAACTAACTATAAGGACATTCTTCGTTTTTTCGCCAGGTTTTGTCATATTATGTTAATAATTGTCGTCGATAATCGTCTTATAAACTTCCGTTGTAGCGTTAATTCAATACTAATTTATTCCCGATTTTTTGTTTGTTAGTTTTTTTGTTTTATCTTTGCCTTTTATGCCTTCGCTTCTTAAATTTTTCTTTTATTTACGATTGACCCCGTGTTTTAATCAGGTTTCAAAAATTTGTTTGAAAAATCGCGGACTGTTACTTAAAAAACTGACTAAACGTAAGCAAGCGGATAAGACACACAATGGACAACCTACAAAAGCTACAATTTTTGCGCATCTTAAAAATCATCAATTTATAATTTAATCCAAAGTTACATGAATGAAATATGGCAAATTTGTAGAATTTAAAGTACTAAAACCAACGTTGCTATAATTTAAAAAATTTGCTTGGATTTACTTGACTCAACGTAAATGAAAACAAAATTATAATTAATAATAATAACAACAGTGCGACACAAAAGTTGGCAATAAATCAAACAGTGAATTTCTCAGTAATAAATAATCGTTTTCTGCTTATGACGTTTTGATTTACGAAATTTCCGACTATCAGGTGGTAAAAAACATCAATTTCGTTGAAAGGTTAGAAGACACACCAAAAATGCTTAAAATCTTCATCTATGAGCCAATTTAACTCACTAATAAATTAACAATTTAAAAAAATACTCAATATGTAACTTAAAAAGAAAAATTCTGGAGCAAAAATTTCCAATATTTTTGTTTTCAGTTTAGTTCCCTTTATCAACCTTTACGTTACACTCTCTGTTCCAAAAAAAATCTGCGACTCTTATTCGCCATCCATTTGATTGGACATGGAAACATGTTATTAAGATATTTTTCCACACCATAATAAGGTACGTAATTTTACTTAAATTCTGTATTTAGAATTGCAGGAAGCAATCAAATAAAGTGCTCTTGACATCGTTTTGCAGAACCATGATCAGTTTGTAATGTAATTGAATTTTAATGTTTGCTTAATGGCTATGGCTGATAATAGAAACAGAAAAGTGCACACTAATTGTTGCATATCGTTGGTCCGAATGCGGCAGCCAGTGGTTTTATCAAATATTAAGTTAGGTCAGTAGCTTGAGCGGTTTTGCAAGTTTGAGATAAAATATATAAATGTATGTCTGTCTCCAATGAGGTTTTTATTGTATTTCTTAATATAAAATAATGGCATATTCCTGTCCTTAGATAAGAAAGTACTTTCTTGAGAAATCAAAATTAATTCCTGGG